ATGCTCAACCATTAATCTATATCCCATTCCCTCTCCAAAGGGCTCAGGAAACATCACAGAAGAGGGGATGGAAAGGATTGTTAAGAGGCAGAGAAGACTGGTGAAACAAGGTCTTCTGGACACTCATGAACTCACGCAGCTGTGGTTGCCCGCACAAGACCTGCACAGGTCAAGCCAGTCAACCATGCAGCATGAGTGGGGAGGGGTCACCAACTTCCACCCCTAGTTGCGGAGGTATTTGTTAATATCTATCCGGTGGAAGCTATGGGAGGTAGTGTCAGCTTTCTTTAATGTTGTGACCCCTGGTTTCCAGAGTTGACTGCACACCTGGAAACTTTAAGAGAATTTACGACACTGGGCCGATGTAAATTATACTCTACAGAACACAAGAACTTGGGGGCAAGATCTCAGATAGTGAAGTAATCTCCAAGAAAACACGGGAGCTGCCAGACACTGCGGTGAGTTGAAGTCCTTTCTTTTCCACTTAGAAAATAGATGTAGAGATATTTAGTCTTGACAACAAATATTGGAGAAAGTCTAGGATGCTCCTGTGTGTGCTTTTAGCAAAACATGCTTGATTCCCAGTTGGATCGCTTGGGTATTTTTTGAAGAGACATCACTCATGTCGTACTCAGCCAAGGGTTGAGCATAGGACCCAAACCAGGCCAGACAGACACTCTCTTCTTTAGATACGAATCTTGGGTGGAACCACAGCTGGGTGATCAGGAATGCTTCCTGCTCTTGCAGAGGACGTGAGTTTGGTTCCTAGAACCCATATCAGGCAGCTCTTAGCTGCCTATAACTCCAGCTGCAGGGGATCTGATGCCCTCTTCTCAACTCTGAGAGAATCAACTCCCAAAAATTGTTCTCTGACTTCCACACAAGTACACATGCACACACACACATCATCATCATCATCATCATGTGATTTTTTTAAAAGTTTAATTACAAATTTTCAGTGCCTAACAGGATGGCTGCTAAGATCCTCCTGAAGTGACTTCATCACAGACACTTGTTGTTGACCAGCTATTAGAGGACCAAATTACTGTGAGTAAATTAAGAGGGGAAAAAAGCTCTACAATAAAAATGATAAAATACTAACAGAAATAAAAAAGGACACGCAAAAATGGGTAAACACCCAATGTTCATGGTGTTGGAAGGGCCAATATTACTAAAATGTTTACAACTGAGTAATAAATTGCCAACTTGATATAATCTAGAGTGAGATGGGCCTCTGGCCATTCCTGTGGGGAAGTATTTTGAGTGTGTTAAGTGGGGTTGGAAGCTCCACACACTGAGGGCGGCACCATTGTGGGATCCTGGACTATGTAAACAGAGAAAAGGAGCTGAGTGGCAGCTTGCATTGCTCGCACCGAATTCCTGATGGTGGGGGAATGTGACCAGCTACCTCAAGCTCCTGCAGCCTTAACTTACCCCCTATTCCAGTTTGACTTTTCTGTTGCTGTGATAAACACTGACCAAAAGCAACTTGGGGAAGAAAAACTCTTATTTCAATCACAGGTTACAGTCCATTATTGAGAGAAGCCTCGGGGCTGACACTGAAGCCAAGCACTGAAAGGAACGTGACTTCCTGGCTTGCTCAGCCGCCAGTCTTAGACAGCTCAGACCCAGCTGTCCAGCGAGGTACCACCCGTACAATTAGCAACCAAGAAAACGCCCACAGGCCAATATGATGGGGTCAAACCCTCAGAGGAGCGTCCCTCATCCAGTTGAAGAAAAGCAGGCACCTCACCCACCATGATGGACTGACTGTACCATTGAACTGGGAGTCAAATAAACCCCTTTCTTCCTTAATTTTGCATTTTCTCTCAACTCTGAATGTGAGGCTGACCTGGGCTACGTAGTGAGTTCCAGGCCAGCTTGAGCCACAGAGTAAGACTCTCCCACCAAAAGAAAAAACATCTTACAGTAAAAGTAAAACAATGTCTTCGTGTATAGAAGACAGTCAGATGGTCAGTGTAAAAGGTAGGGGGCATTGCTTCACACGCCCAGAAAGCAGTCCGTAGAGGCAGCTGCAGTTGTGGAA